TATGTCCCTACTAGAATCCGAGCTCAAATGACTCAAACCAACAAAATGTCCAAGCAAAGAATCATGTGCACCATGAGGCTGGGTTATAAGGGTAATTTAAAAAATAAAATACCCCATTATAACAATGGACTTTATCTTTATGTATTTATTATATATTACCCCCTCAGGCTGATTTTGGAAAAGGACATTAACCGTTGTTTGGTGTTTTTCCCTTATTTATCTAAAACAAATGACATGATAAATTACTTGTGTTTATGTGTGTAAGACTTGTGTTTCTGCCCCTGCCATTGCTGCACAAGGTTGCAACATTGTAGATAAATTCAACCACCGACACCTGTCTGCTCTCACATTCTTCTATTCTGCAAATTTGGGGTGGGACACAATAAATAAAGCTTCGCCAGTTTGTTTGTTTTATTGCACAGTCAAGACATAACAATAACGGCATCACGCCGCTCAAGTAGCTTTTGCGAACATCGCTCACAACATTTGGAGTTGGGAACTGCTTTCTGTAGAAGCTGCTGCATCCTGTCCTCAGAGAAAATTGCCAGAAGCGCCGACACTTCCTCATCATTCCACCGCTCCGGTGTTGTAGTACGTGTGGTCATAACTGCTTTAAAGTACAACAAAACTACTCGCTCAGGTGTGGATGTGGTTTTTCTAGCGAGGAAAAAAATGGCTGCCTAACAAAAACAATTCAGAGTCTAACGGGGCGTGGTTTGCAATTCGTCCAGCCAATAGAAATAGAATATAAATTGGCACTCTTTTATCACCAGGTTCGTACCACCTCTCTAGCAGGGACTGAAAATGGCCAAAAGATTTCCCGGCACTGAGTAGTCCCGGCGGTGTGAACGCGACATTATTGGTACTAACGGAACTAAAGAACCAAAGTACCAGGGAAAGTCCTGCGGTGTGAATGCGGCTATAATTATCTTATTCGTGTCTGTTGCACTGGTTTTTTTATCAGATCTTTACTCCATCAGCTCAGTGTGTTGTGAACAAATGGCGGATCACTCACATGCCAGAGACCAGCACCACCTTGAAGACATGCTGGTCGGAGGAAGCGGGGTTTCCCATGGCAACGTTCAGGGCCCTGTCGATGCTGAAGGCCACCTGCCGCAGGTAGCGCTCCGGCTGCTGGCCGTAGCCATCGTACGGCACGTAGATGTAGGGGAACACTCCGTGGAGGTGGAGGCACGTTTTCTGGCCTGCAACACAACAACACCAATGTCAGGCCAACAAATGTCATTTATCCATAACCTAACATTTTATTCACAGAATCTTTGGCCTTAACATCACTCTTTTAGTTTGACTTACATTTATTACCATATTTATGTATCACGTTTCTTGTTTAGTGGCTCAAGTTTTAGCTTAAAACTCTTCATATCATTTAATTCAATTGGTGTTTCATAAGAAAATACTGTAAGAAATACAACTTTGTCAAGACAGCACAAGTTCAGACTTCATTCAATTTTTGATATAGAAGTTTGAAAATATCGTCAAATTATATAATTTCATTACATCAGGCCACAACACATGTTCTTCAATCATTTAAAAACAAATATTAAAAGCTTTGCTTGACCCGACATGATGTTGAGTTTGTACAACAACATCTTCACATTCTAAGGCTTTGACACTGCTGCCCCCCACTTTCACTCCTACAGTGCTACATTAAGGCGCCGTTTACATGGAAACGGTTCGGGTTGTATCTGCTACTTTTTTCTATGGTAAGGATAGAGAACTGTAGACGGGGTCTAAGACTGCTTGAATTTGTCTGTAATCAGGTAGTCTTTAATCAATAGGCCATAGTGCATCTCAAACATTAAGCAAAACTGTTACAAAAAAAAACAAAATAATCAAATTTCCAGAATAAGGTAATGATTATATTGGGCTAATTTCTACCATGTTCAATATCTGCACTTGGAAAAAGAGAAAGCCAACTGAGACAACAAAAAAACAAATGGAATTGAGAAATTGAGGACACACCAAAAGAAAAATGTCACACTTCACTAATCGGCAATTTGACTAAATCCTCTGCACTTTTTTTCCCAGCATGCAGTGCCAAAGTGTCAGTAGAACACACACACATAAGCTGAGCAGCTGAAGCCTCAGATAGGCCTCTGAGCGTCCCTCCCTGACACTTCCTGACCAAGGACAGATGGTGAGAGGGACACGAATGAAACACCATGATTTATGACAGACATGCAGGTGCCAAAGCAGCCTTTTAGCTTAATTCCTAAACAGAAAGGATTGTGGGTGGACGGAGTCAATTGGGGTCTTGAGAGATGTGAAGTGAGGTGGGCCGCTGGAGAGAGAGGGAGATACAGTATTTATAAGAAAAGTGGTGTGACATCATCACTCCCAGAGACACTGCAGAGTCATCCGAGGTGAACATGTTGCAGTCAGCCTGGCACAGAGCTCTCATCTGCAGACTGCTGGAGGAGCCTGCATGTTTAATCAAGTTACATAAGAGATAATAACAGCTGCAGCAAAATGAAAACAAAGGCTTACAAATTTCTGAGCTGCTTACTCACTCCTCTCCTCCTGTAGCAGAGAGGCTAACAGCAGGACAGGAGGAGGCAGTGTCGAGCAGGAGAGGGGCTCTGCCTGCTTCATCTCAGCATTGACCTACAAAAACTTGAAACCTTGTCCAGTATATTTGTCTAATATCTCGTGAGTGAAACGTTTTCTTTCACATTTTCATTGGACAGCAACATTTCCTGATTCTGGTCAAATATAAACCAGCTAATTAAAAGATTTCATTTATCTAAATATCCCATCTCATTTCAAGAAATCTTACCATGCAAATGTTCACTTGGTTTCTCGGCTCTCATGTCTATTAGCTTCTTAAAAACAGCGGGGATAAGCTGTTGAACTTGTCTTTTGCCGGGCTCCGGTGATTGGCAAATCTGGGTGATGCCTTCTGATGTGATTGAGCATGTTTGGCTTGTATTACCATTAGCATACAGCACCGCTATCGAACAACGCCGACATACCCTCCTCGTCCGATCTACCACTCGCACCCCATCGTTATTGTAGTCGACAGGGAACCCGAAATGTTCCCACACAGCTGATTTAAAAGAAGCAGGTGGGTTCTATTTCGTATATGGCTTCGCCCTCTAAGGCTATCGCTATTGGGTAATTCCCCTGCGCACCCGCGCAGCACGAAAAACACTTGTAGTCCACGCCCGCCCGCAAGGTGGGCCCCACCCTCGGGCTCCCTTCCGGTATAAATAGGAATGAGGCCCGACAATCTGCTCCCTCTTTTCTTCAGCACCACGTTAGACTGAAGCACTGATCGAAGAAGCAAACATGAGTAACAATTGTTTAAGAGATTATCCCTCATGTGGCTCTGGGTTCATAATGACTTTTCGCGGGTGTAGACGGTTAGGAGTGACCCGATCTGGCAACGGCGAACCCGAGGACCCTGAAGGCTCCGGTGGCCACATTGGTTCCCCTCACCAAGGTGGAGGGGTTCACAGATGCTGGTTTTCCAGCCGCCCCTTCTCTGGAGCCGAGCCTGACGGCGTATTTTGGGGTTAAGACAGACCAACATAATCGCCGGACGGCGCCCTACGTTGAGCGCCCCCAGAGACCAGTATGTCGCCCGCCAGGCCG